CTCATGGACAAAACTTAAGGGAGTTGTACCATTTTACCATGTATATCGGGATTCAGACAATAACTCTGAAAGATATTACAGCGATATTTATTAAAGACACACGAGATAACCAAGTTTGAACAGCCTCTGTCTCATTCAAATATATATATATACGACCGGCGATATCAAAGACTTTCCACTTCCTTAAGTTTTGTCCATGAGTGTATATAACTTATTGGTAAAGGTACTTAATATAGCAGAAATATAAGTTTTGAGAGAGGAAGTATAAATATTTAATTATTTTTATTGAATATTATTCTTTTTCGCAACAATTCACAAAAGAGCCATTCAAGGCAGGCATAAATTAAACATTGATGAGCCAGGCACTTCTACTAATTTCCATCACAGTAAGAATTTTTAATTAAAAAGCCATATAGTGGATCAAAATATTATTTATTTTACCAATATTTCAGTTGGCTGAACGCCAACATTTATCAAGGTGTTATAACATATTTAATCTTGTTTTTTTATTAAATATTTTTTATTAAATATTGGTAAAATAAATAATATTTTGATCCAATATATGCCTTTTTAATTAAAGATTTATTTATGGATTGCTCTATTTTTAAAACTAAGAATTGTAGGAAGTTTAGAAGAGAGAGAGAGATAAAAAGAAAAAAAAAAGTATCATTAATTCATTTTCCACTTCCTCAAGTTGTGTCCATGAGTGTATATATTACACCCAACATAATAACTACCCAGTGTCATCTTTATTACATTTATAGTTTCAGATTAAAAAGACACCATTGAAATCTCAGCAAATGTTTTGTATTCCTTTCTAGTAAAATAATTGACACTCACGGAAGTTTTCTTTTATATCCTTTATCATAATACAGTTAAACCTGTCTATAGCACCCCCTCTTGTGACTCACCAAAATAGGGTGCTATAGACAGGTCACTTTTAATGTAAATTTTTTACATTTTAATGTGTGTGTGTGTTTAAAATCGGGCGCTATAGAGAGGAAGGCGCTATTTAGAGGGGGCGCTATAGACAGATTTAACTGTATATAATTAGCGGTATATAAATATTCTGCTAATAATAAAAATAATCTTAAAAACACAGATATTAGTTTTTATATACACTTATGGACAAAACTTAAGGAGGTAAAAAGTCTTTAATGTCGTGTGTGTGTGTGTGTTTTTTTTTTTTTTTTTTGAAGATATGTATTCTATATAGTTACGAGCGTCATTCCTCATCTCCTAATCAATAATCAGTCATCAGTTTTCATCTCTGTCACCGTTTGCTTTTTTTTTGGAATGGCGCTCTCCTATTGGTTGGCTACGAACACGCCACCTTTGCCCCCCCACTCGCTTTGTTGTTTTTGTAACTACTGTGTTGGAGCGGGTCGCTCCTTAAATAATCTATTGTTAACAATACCTCATTATAGGTCCGCAAATATCGAAAGTATAGGTCTAAGTACTGATTGTGTAACACTATGTTGTATAGCATATTATTGGAACGGCCGATATACATGCCCGACATGTAACGACAGATAAAGCACATAGGCTATAGTTATTAACTAACATATGCAATTATTTAAGGCGCCAATTTATAATTGTAACAAATAGTATTTGAATCAAAACATTCAATCGGGTAAAACACGGGCGTTGCCCGGGTCATTCGGCTAGTATATATATAAGTTTTAGCAACAAAAGAATATAAATTATTGGCAATATATATATTGGTAATATAAAGTATATATATCTTATATTTAAAATTTTATTTTACTTACGTTATATATAAGAGTCAAACGTACTTATACGTATTTTTATTTGTATTTATTTATTTATTCAATAAATTTTAATATCCCCTTCAAAAAATATTAAATCATCCAGGGATTAATTTATTTTAAGATTATATTTATTGTTTTTTTACGTTTTTTTGGGCTTAAAGAGAAAGCCTTTTTAAAATAAATCTATATTAAAATTTATATATTTATTTTTATATTATGATCAGAAATAAGCGAATAAATTATTCTTTTGTTTATATTTTTTATTCTTCTGGTATCTTTTACAATACATAACGATGATAAAAGTTGTTATCGATTAAAATCACAGATTAAATAATACAATTAAAATAACAAAAATATTAGAATAAGTATGTTATAAATATTCTTTATATGTATATGTGTTTGTAAAAAAAGGCTATATATTTATTTTTAAAAAAGGTTATATATAAAATAGTAAAAATGACATATCCTGACCAGGAGCACATGTGCTTTACAGAAGGCAGAGCGCCATCTGGTGGAACAGAAATCAACCAAACATTGACCCAGCCTGTTCCATGATATTTGGCCAACCCAATTTCTTGATAAATCAAGAAAAGCCATCCACGAACGCGTTTCGCGCTTTTGGCGCTCGTCAGCGTGGAGTAGGCTGAACCATTGCGACCAAAAAAGATTTTTTGATCTCAATGGCTTCCCGAAAAACCAAGAAATGGGTATTTAAGGCCAAACTTGTGTAAATACGCTTAGCACATTAAAAAACGAAAGAAAAAATAAAAGATAAAAAGATCAGGTGTTGAAATCAATATTAAAAATGGCATATCCTGACCAGGAGCACATGTGCTTTACAGAAGGCAGAGCGCCATCTGGTGGAACAGAAATCAAATATCAGGGAACAGGCTGGGTCAATGTTTAGTTGATTTCTGTTCCACCAGATGGCGCTCTGCCTTCTGTAAAGCACATGTGCTCCTGTCAGGATATGCCATTTTTAATATTGATTTCAACACCTGATCTTTTTATCTTTTATTTTTTTCTTTCGTTTTTTAATATAAAATAGTGTAAAAGAGAAACGTAAGAAGTAAAATAAACTTATATTATTATTTTTTATATTATATATATACATTATATTTTAATATTATTTTATATTATATATATATTTTTTTTTTCAAAAATACAAAATAAAACGATTTAAAAACGTAAATATTTTCCATAGAATTCAACGAGGCCAAATCAACAAAATGGCGCCTACGAAAATAACTTCAGACGACACCTTTAGATTAACCTTGTCCCCGTTTAGTGAAATGTGTGAATAGATCAACCGGATCTTCCTACGTACATTATTCATATGGTGTAACTCTTAGGATGGATGTCCATGGTGTTTATTGCTTTGTCATAGGCCAAAGCTTTACCATCATCTATATATTTAGTATAGATTATATAAAGTACAAATTTTGTCTCTATTCATGGTTAACACAGAATCAGGCCCTTTGAGGAAGACAATAGATCAATTTTAACTCACAATTTATTAACTCTTGTTCTTTCCTAAAAGTAAACCTAGACTCATTCCTTAATCCTTAATGCTAAATAAAACATAAAAATGTAAATAGCTATCATACACTTATGGATAAAATTAAAAGAAATTGTACTTCTTTGAAAGATACACTCATGGACGAAACTTAAGGAAGTTGTACCTTTTAACATGTATATCGGGATTCAGACAATAACTCTGAAAGATATTACAGCGACCTTTATTGAAGACACACGAGATAACCAGGTGTGAACAAAACTGACTCTCACCTTCAAAAAAAAAAAAACTGACTATCGGTAATATCAAAGACCTTCTCTCTCCACTTCCTTAGGTGTATTTTTATATGAGTATTTTTTTTTTTTCAAATTTAGGTTGTAAATATCCACGCTTCGGGCGTTTCAACTTAGAAATAAGTCCTAATTATAAATAGTCTATTTATAAATTTAATTGCCATCTATCGTTGAAATTTGTAACATATAAATTTACTGGCAATGTGTTTCTTTTAAATAATATCATCAAATATTTATCTCTACAGACCTTACTGCAATGATTATTGGTTGAATGAGAGGGCTTGGCTCATCAGCAGTGAACCCTCTCAGCGGTTTCTCTCGCCAAATTAATCTCTATATATAATAGAGATAATAAATAAATAATCATTGCAGTAAGGTCTGTAGAGATACATATTTGATGATATTATTTAAAGGAAACACATTGCCAGTAAATTTATATGTTACAAATTTCATAAATAGTCTATGTTTTTATGTAAGTCTTTCAAAAACGATGTTTGGCTTTTATATCAAAAAGAGCTAACATTTCTAATTATTAAAAAAAGGAATTAATTATGAAAAATATTTATAATTTATATGTAAATCGACGCAATTATCCCTAGCCGGGATATCGCGTTTTGTGTGTTGAAATAAAAGATCTTTATAATTTTATTACTTAAATTACGAATTTCTACAACAATAAAGTGAAGTGTAAAGATGAAAAATAGAATTTAGGAGGGTTGGTTCATCAATGGTGAAACCTTACAGCGGTTTCGCCAGTATAATCGACCAGACTATTGTATTGGGCGCTATTTATAAATGGGAGATGTAATAGGGGTATATGTAATTACCATTTCTCCATATGTAACCTTCAAGTAGCTAGGGGTCGCTGTGTCTATTTAAATCGATGACGTGAGCCATTGGCCGGTTTATGCAAGCTTGGGCTGAAGTGGGACAAGTAGGGATTTGAATACGATACTTGGCGTGTCGACATTGCGCAAGTACCTAAGCCTAATTTGGCCTCCAATCTACCTCGTGTAGACTTCTTATATACATCAACAACAAAAAGCTTTATTAAGACCTTTCAGTTTTATACAGATTCTCCAAGTAGAAATGTAAGGTACATATAGAATTAACAGTAAAAAATACCAGTAATAAGCATTGTTATTATTATTTTTTTAAAGCTAATCACATAAATGTAATATGAAATTTATCATTAAATTAAAGATATTTTGGCCAGTAAAAGGGATAATAAAAAGATTTATAATACAATATAATGCGGCCTATGATTGTAAAACGACATTTGAAAATTATCCCACATGTGTTTCTTTTGAACGAAAAATCGAAATTTATTTTAAGGAGAAATAACGATTATTTCTAACCTTAGGGATGAAGTATGAAAGGATGAATTATAAAGAGTAATGATAAACGGAAAAATAAAGTATCCAGGGATGGGAATCGAACCCACAGTGTTCCGCTTACCGGGCAGATGCCATGTCCACTAGGCTACCCTGGACAAATTTACTGGCCGAAGTATCTTTAATTTGAAGAACTATGAATTCCGGCCAGGCAGCCTCTATCTTTACGATAAAATTTATATACTGGAAAACTTAATCAAGACAATCAAGCTAATAGATTAATCTGGGTAAATCCGAAGAAAAGGGAAAAATACTATATATATATTTTATTTATATACTATAAATAAAAAAACATTGGAATTTATGATACATAAACCTTTACTAAGATTTTTCGTCTTAATAAAGATTACTCAGCTTTATAAAAGCTATAAAGATTTGAAGCGTAACTTTTTACAGTATTTTCATTCATAGAAATCGAAATATGAAAGAAATTAAGGTAAGGAAAGAAGAAATATTTTCGTTATCTCACCTCAAGTCTCAGGAAGAACTTGTAGATGTACTCTGTTGATGAGAAAATGAGGTCATTCCATTCCATGTCCAAAAAGCCAAGCTTGAAAGTCTGGTGACTATTGGATAATGTAGATCAGTAAAGAGTATGACAGCTTATTTTGGCTTCTGGTGGGTATCTTAGATGATCTAAAAAGACAAAGAGGTTGCCTCTCCTGTCAAAATAGACGTCAAAAATAGATGCCATCTATTGTAGATGTATTCGTAATCTATCAACTAATACCTTTAATATGTCAGAAAGAAAAACATTCAAGCATTCAAGTTTATTTTAATCACAAAACACGTTTCTACAACAATAAAAAGCTTTATTAAGACCTTTTAATCTTATAACAGATTCTCAGAGCAGAAATGTAGGTATCATGAAGGAATAACCGTAATAAGAACACGCTTCTACTCTCCCTACTGCGATGAAAAATATATTGGGAGGGCTTGGCTCATCAATGGTGAACCCTCCCAGCGGTTTCGTCAATTTAATCTACCAGATCAATTCTTAGAGCTCTAATACTGTATTGGATCATTCTGCTTTTATATGCTGTACTGAAGGATGGAATCTTAGAAATGGTATTTAAGTAAACTATGGACATAAGCTTTTAGGACAGTAGAATTACATCCCTGGAGCAGTAATGGCTACCCAGACCCCGAAGGTCCATAAGCCCGCATGCGTAGCATGCACCCATTGCTGCCATATAGCCACCGTGCCGTAGGAAAGGTGCATTCTCCTTTCCTACGGCACGGTGGCTATATGGCAGCAATGGGTGCATGCTACGCATGCGGGCTTTTGGACCTTCGAGGTCTGGGTAGCCATTACTGCTCCAGGGATGTAATTCTACTGTCCTAAAAGCTTATGTCCATAGTTTACTCAAATACCATTTCTGAGATTCCATCCTTCACTGTAACATATATAAGCAGAATGATCCCATACAATATTAAAGCTCTAGAAAAAAAAAAGCGATCTGGTAGATTAAATATTTACATCGAGCAATGCTCTTCCGCAAACACTAAGGACAAGACCAGTTAGGTATAAATTAATGTAAGGCGATAACACGCCATCTGTATATAAGAAAAGTAAACATTTAATCACGCAAGTTTCTTTTAATCATAAAACACATTTCAACTGTCTTTACTGCGACCTTATATGAGCTTTAGTCTTAAATAGATTCTCCTGTGAGCTAACAGCAATGAGGTAAATAAAGAGAGAAGAAAGAAATTTGAATATACAAAGTTATATGGGAAATATGTACATATGTGAAAAACTATTTTTTTATATATAATAATATAATTCGTGGATGGCTTTTCTTGATTTATCAAGAAATTGGGTTGGCCAAATATCAGGGAACAGGCTAAATCAGTGTTTAGTTGATTTCTGTTCCACCAGATGGCGCTCTGCCTTCTGTAAAGCACATGTGCTCCTGGTCAGGATATGCCATTTTTAATAATAATATATATACATATTGGTTATAGGTATTCTCCTCTTTATATACAGGTTTAGGTAGGTTATGGGAGAGGGTAGAAAACACACGGGGGAGGGGAGGAGAACTTAAGAAAGGATGAATGAATGAAACTACACTCATGGACAAAACTTGAGGAAGTGGAAAGTCTTTGTTGTCAATGGTCGTCTAGTTTTGAAGGAGACAGAGGCATATTCAGTTATCACTTGGTTTTCTTATGTGTCTCCAATAAAGGACACTGTAATATCTTTCAGAGTTATTGTCTCAATCCCGATATACATGCTGAAAGGTACAACTTCCTTAAGTTTTGTCCATGAGTGTATATTCGAAGACCAACACCGAAGAGTCCTTCTCCATATGATCAGGACTCTTTCGTTATCTCACCTCAGCTCAAGTCTCAGGAAGAACTTGTAGAAGGACTCTGTTGATGGGAGAATGAGGTCATTCTATTCCATGTTCAAAGAGCCAAGCTTGAAAGCCTTGTGACTGTTAGATAATGTAGATCAAGAGTATGACAGTTGATTTTGGCTGCTGGGTGGGTATCTTAGATGATCTACAAATACAAAGGTCGCCTCTCCCGTCAAAATAGACGTCAAAACTAGACACCATCTATTGACTGTCGCCGCAAACTAACGGCCTCGGTTCGGTAACAAAGCCATAAATGACGTTTAGTTTTGACGTCTATTTTTTTGACGGGAGAGGCGACCTATGTCTTTTTTAGATCAATATCCTTCCAGCAAAATTTCCATCTATATTTTAGATGATGTCCAAGCCATTGTTTATATAATGACCGACAAGAAACAAACAAACACAAAAAGTGTCACCAGCCAGCCACCTCGATGTCACCACTCTGACAAACAAGTCGTGAATATTTCCCCCCGGCGGGTGACCCTAATCAAGATGTCATACTTGTTTGGGTCACGTGATACTTTAATTGGCGACTGTGAGTGTGGAAATAGGACCCACTTGGTCCTCCAGCTGTGACAAACGGTGGACACCTGTCGCAACTGTCCCTTTAATTCGGACAATTTTTGACTTTGGACCTTCTCGAAACTTCCCCCCACTCTCTCTCTCTTTCTGTAATAATTAATTGTAACATATTTACATATTTCTTCTTATATAGTACCTAGTTGCATACTTACATTCATGGAGACAAAACTTAAGGAAGTTATACCTTTTTAGCATGTACATCGGGATTGAGACAATAACTCTGAAAGATACACTCATGGACAAAACTTAAGGAAGTTGTACCTTTTAGCATACGAGTATATATCGGGATTCAGACAATAACTCTGAAAGATACACTCATGGACAAAACTTAAGGAAGTTGTACCTTTTAGCATGTATATCGGGATTTAGACACTACCCTTGACAAGGATGGAAGGGTCTTCGGACCCAACACATATACAGTTAGCACTCCCCTTGACAAGGATGGAATGGTCTTAGGACCCAACACATATACAGTTAGCACTCCCCTTGACAAGGATGGAATGGTCTTCGGACCCTACACATATACAGTTAGCACTCCCCTTGACAAGGATGGAATGGTCTTCGGACCCAACACATATACAGTTAGCACTCCCCTTGACAAGGTGGAATGGTCTTCGGACCCAACACATATACAGTTAGCTCTCCCTTTGACAAGGATGGAATGGTCTTCGGACCCAACACATATACAGTTAGCACTCCCCTTGACAAGGATGGAATGGTCTTCGGACCCTACACATATACAGTTAGCACTCCCCTTGACAAGGATGGAAGGGTCTTCGGACCCAACACATATACAGTTAGCTCTCCCTTTGACAAGGATGGAAGGGTCTTCGGACCCAACACATATACAGTTAGCACTCCCCTTGACAAGGATGGAATGGTCTTAGGACCCAACACATATACAGTTAGCACTCCCCTTGACAAGGATGGAATGGTCTTCGGACCCAACACATATACAGTTAGCTCTCCCTTTGACAAGGATGGAATGGTCTTCGGACCCAACACATATACAGTTAGCACTCCCCTTGACAAGGATGGAAGGGTCTTCGGACCCAACACATATACAGTTAGCTCTCCCTTTGACAAGGATGGAATGGTCTTCGGACCCAACACATATACAGTTAGCACTCCCCTTGACAAGGATGGAAGGGTCTTCGGACCCAACACATATACAGTTAGCTCTCCCTTTGACAAGGATGGAATGGTCTTCGGACCCAACACATATACAGTTAGCACTCCCCTTGACAAGGATGGAATGGTCTTCGGGCCCAACACATATACAGTTAGCACTCCCCTTGACAAGGATGGAAGGGTCTTCGGACCCTACACATATACAGTTAGCACTCCCCTTGACAAGGATGGAATGGTCTTCGGGCCCAACACATATACAGTTAGCACTCCCCTTGACAAGGATGGAATGTTCTTCGGGCCCAACACATATACAGTTAGCACTCCCCTTGACAAGGATGGAATGTTCTTTGGGCCCTACACATATACAGTTAGCACTCCCCTTGACAAGGATGGAATGGTCTTCGGGCCCAACACATATACAGTTAGCACTCCCCTTGACAAGGATGGAAGGGTCTTCGGACTCAACACATATACAGTTAGCACTCCCCTTGACAAGGATGGAAGGGTCTTCGGACCTAACACATATACAGTTAGCACTCCCCTTGACAAGGATGGAATGGTCTTCGGACCCAACACATATACAGCTAGCACTTCCCTTGACAAGGGTGGAAAGGTCTTCGGACCCAACACATATACAGCTAGCACTTCACTTGACAAGGATGGAAGGGTCTTCGGACCCAACACATATACAGTTAGCTCTCCCCTTGACAAGGATGGAAGGGTCTTCGGACCCAACACATATACAGTTAGCACTCCCCTTGACCAGGATGGAAGGGTCTTCGGACCCAACACATATACAGTTAGCTCTCCCCTTGACAAGGATGGAAGGGTCTTCGGACCCAACACATATACAGTTAGCACTCCCCTTGACAAGGATGGAAGGGTCTTCGGACCTAACACATATACAGTTAGCACTCCCCTTGACAAGGATGGAATGGTCTTCGGGCCCAACACATATACAGTTAGCACTCCCCTTGACAAGGATGGAATGGTCTTCGGACCGAACCCACATACAGTTAGCA